GTTTGCAAATCCCAACTTTTATGTTTTTTGTGTAGTTGTTTGGAACCCATGGGAGAAAAAGTCGAAAGCAATGGCAGATTTTGGCGATGAAGAATACAAACAGATGCTTTGTGTAGATGCGGCTGCAGTAGAAAAGAACATCACTTTGAGGCCCGGGGAGGAATGGACGGGCCGGATTGAACTTGCAGCCGTGCCCTCTACCTTTTGCTCTGATGATCTCCATCCACAATTCAACTTCTTCTGACCATCATCTGATCAAAATTCAACCAATATATATATAGTAGTGACTCATCTGATAATTACAGAAGCCCATGGTTTTTGGAGATGGCTGCTACCATTTAGATTCTGTTTGGTTTTGCCTTTTTCTTTTTCTTTTTCTTTTGTTGAAAACCTTGGTTGTAGCAAATCTTTGAAGGCATTTTTATTTTTTTATGAGAAATAATATTCATATGTTTGGTTCATGCGTGGATGTTAGAATAATCAAATTATGCTATGTTAAAAACATTGTTCCAAAAGTCGCAAGGCGCTCGCTAGGCGCTCGACCAGCGCCCGCTAGGCGCCTAGGCAGGGCCTAGGCGGCGCCTAGTCGGGGCTTAGAAATCAATATTAAATACATTATTTTTTATTTATTTTAACTACTTACAAAATAAAACTATCTCAACTTTCGTAAGCGCAAATAATAATATTAATATATTTCAAAGAAAACATATACATTATTTTTTATTTATTTTAACTACTTACAAAATAAAACTATCTCAACTTTCGTAAGCGCAAATAATAATATTAATATATTTTAAAGAAAACATAAGAGCAAAATAATGTAATTAATATTTAAAAAAAATATTTAAAAAAATGAAAAATAGCCTCTGAGCCCGCCTAGGAGCACCTAGGTCTGCCTATGCCCGCCGCTTAGGAGCGCCTAGGGCCGCCTAACTCTGCCTAGGCGTTGCCTAGCCGCCTGACCGATTTTTTTCTGCCGATTTGTGCAAATTGGAGGCACTCGGCACCGCCTAACTCCTAAGCGGCCGCCTAGGCCAATTTTTAGAACAGTGGGTAAAACTAGCTGGTAACTGATAAGCTAGCTTATAGCTTATGTGTAATTTTCGAGCTTATAACTTATAACTTATGACTTATAGCTAACAAACTAGCTTATATGATAAAAGTGTTTCGTAAAATTAACTGATAAGCTAGTTGGAATAAAAAAACAACTAGCTTATTTAAAAAACTACCTAAACAAGTTTATAAGATAAGCTCGAGCTTTTTAAAATAGCTCGTCATACCAAACTGGGTTTATTTGAATACAGGAAGCTTATAAGCTAACAAAAAAATAAGTTATAAGCTAACTTATTTGGTCTACCAAACAAAGCCACATTCATCATAAACACATCATCCTTGATAACCATAAGTACAAAATATGCCAACTCCAAACCGAAAAATAATGCACCTGACCTGATTACCATTTCTGATTATAACTAGCAACTTGGGACCAAAGTATAACATGTCATTGAACACCACAAAACCATTCACAAAAATTTAGTTCCAGAATTTCTACCGAACAACTCGGAAACCCAAAAGAAGAAAAGAACAAAAAAAAAAAAAAATAAAAAGAAAAATCCAAAGCCTCAAATTTTCAGCCCTTGTGTAAATACAAGCAATAGCAACAGTCGTAAAGAAGTTCGAAATCCTCAAACCAGACGAGTCCAGTAATAGTTAAACTAAAGTCAACAACAGTCCTCGCCAGACCAGTCAGACACTTATATTCGAGATATCTTCTACTTGGGAACAAATTATACGCCCCTACGGGACTCCAACTGCTTGGTATGCTCCAATAATATCTGTCACGTGAACGAACAGCAGATTGCAAGAGAAACAATTTGTCATGCTACAAATTCAATGTGGGAAATGAATTATAACTGTAACCACTGAGAATAATAATAAATTTCAACAGTACTTACTTCTCGTATATAACTCGCCACAGCTTTGCAACCTTCTATAGCAAGTTGCATCACATTCTCGAAAGTATCCATTTGTAGCTTAGCATCCATCTACAGACGGGAAAACTTAAAACATAAGCAAGAGACAGGAAACTTAAAAGATCGACAAGGTTAACACAAATTTTACCCACAAGGTTCAGTCTAATTTTTACAAATAGGCCAAATTAGTTCTCCAAATTACCCATAATCCAAAGAGATCCATTTCTCTTCTGTGAATTGCTCTCTTAATAAGAGGGGTTACTTGCCAGGTAAATGAAAAAACAATTTTTATTATGTTTCTAAACCACTTAAGGGGAAAGCACCTGAAGGAGGGTGACTTTATCTAGCTTAGGCAAAATGCCAACTGTAACATCGGGCCCGCCAGCACTATCTTCCACATAGTTCAGATCTGTTTCAGTTGCAACATCAGTATAATTTACTTCATAATACAATTATAAAGTATTAATTAAATAACAAAAAAAAACTGTATAACAACCAAGAAGTGGCGTCCCGTTCAGGTATCCGGCACCGCACGAGGTCACAATATCACGCATCGGAATACCAGCATCAGCAAGGGCCAGTGTTGCTGCATTTATGCATGCAGACCGTGTTCCTGAAAAAAATAGTATGTTATTGTGCAGAGCTCTGGATAAATAGATTCTGAGAAAGAGAAAAAAGAAGAAAAAACCAAGATTAACTGGACAAAATAAACACAACTAACAATCTTCCAGGAGTGTGTTGTAACAGCTTAAGGGGGTAATATTTAACTTCTTAAGGACAAATGGCTAATAATTAAGCTAAATCCCAAGGAAAGGTCTTGCAATTATTCCCAAGAAAAGAATAATGTTGATGCCACTTATACAACTTAAAGAACGATCATGAATATGACAAGGATCCAGTCTTACCTCCATCGGCTTGGAGAACTTGGACAAAAATGTCGATCTTCAAAATACACAGAACAAATAAATGATTTTAGAGAAGAAAAATAGAAGAGAAACTGTATGAGACAATGTTGGTTAGTAAGACTTCAATATGGTTAGAGACGAACCTGAGAACGAGGCATTAGGTGTGTCAATATGCATGCCTCCATAGTCTGGCGAATGACCAATGATATTTCAGTGGATCGCCTGCACAGTGAAAATATACTCACAAAAATGAATTTAATTCCATATATACATATATATATCACATATACACATATAAATTACAGAACTTTATGGCAACAGAAGAACAAATTTTATTTCGAAGTTTTCAAGAAACACATGAACAGATGAAGCTCATCAGTAGTGAAGGAGAGCTTTTTGCAACTTCAGAATGGGACTCCGGAATTGAATTATCATGTAGTAACTAATGTCCTGGATACAAATAGAGAATAACAATTGATCTGCAAGTTAAATTACCTATCACCCTTAGGTTTCCTCATGCGATCCCCCGTACTGAAATTAGCCATGCTGTACTCACAGCGTACCTGAGAACATATATATATGTCATATCAAGGATAAGTACCCAGAATTAAGGTGGGCGTAGAAAAAAATATCACAAAACATGCATCAGATTCTGCAAAAGGTGATTACCAGTGCCTTGTCATTAATTTGTTGACTCCTATTTTGGACCTGAAACATATTCGATTGAGAACGGCACATTTTTAATTGATAAGAAAATCCATGAATTAAATTGTCAAACAAGCAATCATAGGTTATCATCTCTGATGCAAATCTCCATGTTGTAAATACATACAATCAGAGCAAATGCGTAGAGTGAATCCCCATACCTGGTTACCGGCCCCATACCAGGTTACTGGTTGCTCTATGCAGTTCTATTACATAATCACCACATAGTATTGACAGTAACATATAACAAACTTAAAGAGAAGTAAGTCCTGTTAACAAGTAAATGGGGTAAAAAACCCAACGAGATATTGCTTCCATTATCTTTTGTTTCAGCAAAAAAGTTATTTCATGTTTGCCTAGACAAATATCAACAGAAGCTTCAATGGCATTAGTATAATAATGAATCCGACAAAAATCAAATGTCATATACTCATCATGTTCAGCCTCGACAAACATCAACAGCAGCTTCAATGGCATTAGTATAGTAAAGAATCCCACAAAAAATCAAATGTAAGAAGCATGCACACATCAGCTTTCTTTTCAAAGGAAAAAAAATCTTCACAAAAGACCTATGTCAAGACATAGCATTCCAATCTACCATGTCGCAACACGCGCAAATCGATACAAAGACTAACTTTTAGTTAAATTTTAACTTTAAACTATATCCAGATATAGCATTCGAATCAGCCATGTTGCGACATGTGCATACCGATATAAGACTACTTTTAGTTACAACCAACTTTAAAGTATATCTCGACATGGCATTCGAATCTTCCAGTCGCAACATGTGCAGCAAATCAATATAAAGACTCTAACTTTCAATTACAACTAATAACTTCAAACATTAATCGGCACAGGAAATAGCTGTTAAACTCAAAATAATGAAGTATGACAGGAATTAGAAGTTTGCTGAAATACATTCTTATATATCAGAGCTTTTCATGAGAAATAAAGGTACCTCTCTGGGACCGTAAACCGCAGCAATGACCTTAGTGTTGCCCATTTCAAAAACTGCAGACCTGCAATTAACAGCACACATTTTTGTTAAAGAAAACTTGATTGGTCACTCACACAAGCAATTCACCGGCGCTTTTTAAACATAAACCGGCGAAGAGCAAGAAAGATTGAAGAACCCGTCAGCTCTTGAGACTACGCCTATCTCCCCACGAAGCTGCCTCATCTGAAATCGAAAGAAGAACAAACATAAATACCGAATAATTGGGGGGGCATAAGGAAAGATAAATAGCGAGGAACTAAACCTCCATAGGACGGCGACCATCCAGGCGAAGACCTTCGGGGTTGACGTACTCCATATTCGGTTTTCGAGGGCACTGTATGAGAGGGG